GTTTGAAAAAAAGGGGACAGCCCCCCCCCCCCCCTACTTCGAGCCTGAGTTATTATTACATCCTGGTGATATAATTCCTCATTATTTTGCTGCCCATTGATCTTTTTTGCATGAATAATTTAATACTTTTTTTTTTTTAACTTTATTGATTAATCTAAAAAAAGGGTGATTTTCGGTATCATAAAATTATAATTTGAACCTTAGTGTAAATAGGTCAAAATTAATGCTAAAGTAAGTAATATTCCCTCGTTTACTGTTATTGTTTGTTAATAAAAGCTTCATTTCAAGGATCTTTTTGCATTCTCTATCTATTTTTTTAAACATTCCTGAAAAAAAAATAATTTATTTGTGGAGAAAAATAGACTGCACATTATGCAAGCGCTAGCGATTTTGACTGCAGTCATGATATTCACGTATATCGATACTATGGGGGTCATTTATTCTTTAAAACACTCTTTTTTGTGCAATATTTTCTTTGAAGGAAATAAAATATGCAATGTAAATATTCTAATGTAAGATTTTTTACGTATAACATACATTGATACATTAAAGTTGTTATTTAAATGTTCTAAATTGACAGCAATAATATCGTAATAGTGCTCAAAGCGGTTAAATGCAAGAAAATACTTTTCATTTTTAGAGGGCAATTCCAACTAAACTATAAAAGATAGATAAAGATTGTTCAAATATTTATAAAGTGTACATACTCAAGTCACTTCTTTGTAATTATTTTACATTTTCAAAGAAGGGCCGATTTTCAGTACTAATGTACCTGGCTCTTTGCAAAAATTGCATAATTTATTTTGTTAAAAGTTACTTTAGAGCTGTTTTTTTGCGGAATGATATATTTTTTAAGTTTGGAAAACACTGTTTTATACATTAAGTTTGTTTTTAATCGGCTTATAAATTTAATAGAATATCATAGAGAACTCTTCATAGTCTTATATGCAGGTATACAATTTTACAATAATTGCAAAGTATTAGTGCTTTTCATGCTTTTGATGCTGCAGGCAGATATTTATGAGAAATCTTAGCAACGTTTTAATAGCAATTCTCTGTATCCACTTAAACTTCTTTGCCACGCATGGTAACCGATTTTGATGAAACTTTGCCCATTATTACAACTTGACACCAGAAACATATATCAAATAAAATTTCGTTGCTATGTGTCTTGGTTGCCATGGTAACAGCCAGAAAAGTTGGAAAAATTGAGATTTTCAGCTACTTTGAATCTTTATTAAGCCTTAATAAAGACTAAGAAAAACAAACAAACCATTCTCACAAAAACCTGACACCTTGTTGCCACTTATGCTATAAAGAAACTATTTAGAATTTATCTCTTAGTAAGTGGTAACCATGGGTACATTTGGAATACCTTTTACATGCTGAAAAATGCAGAAAAACGCTCAATATTCACTAATGATAGGTGTTAAATGATCAAACTCAATCAATAACCTAAGAAAAAAACAATAAAAATATTTGATCTTAAGTAATTAGGTATTGGCAATATTATTCTAAAAATTACTTTCATGGTTGCCATGGTAACATGCAAAATATGTTGCTAAGATTGGGTTAATGATACTATCTTCAGGAAAAACAATAAAATTCATGACTGGCATATATACATCCTTAAGACCTTGCAACACCGACAACATAAGAAAAATTGGGATTAATTGTTACTTTGCAGTGTAACCATGGAAACAATGTACCAGTTGTTTAAAGTGATATGTTTTGCTGCCTTAGGGATTTACTTACCTTTTATTCAAGAAACATATTATTTGACTCACCGTGAATAGTACTTATCTGGTAGAACTAAAGTTGAATTTCATATATTGATAACGTTTGTTGAAAAATACAACACTGTTGCTATGGTAACCAAGAAGGGAAAATGTTCGATTTTGTTAATTTTATATCGATATTAAACCCTATTTGCATCCAGTTAGAGATTGGGTGGCAGTCAAAATCTAAAGTCAGGTTAGTTGTTCATAATTATCAATCAAAAAAGTTTTGGGAATCTACATACAAGGGTACGTATCCAAGGAAACAGAATATTTTTCAGATTTTTATGCATATTTTTTCGGCTTATTTCCATAGCAACGCTCTATTTAAAGAATTGAATTTGAATTTTTTGAAATGTGAAAATTAGGGTCACATGAACGTCTTTAAAAATTGTTCATTAGTTACATAGAAATATGCTTTTTAAAAAGATAGGATTAGATTTAAACACTAAGAGAGTAAATTTAAAATCCTTTCTTGGTATTAAAGCCATGGCAACCATTGCCAACCTATAGGAAATATCATATTTCTTCCGTGGTATATGTTACAAGGATCATTTGTCTATTATTTGCTTGCATTTCAACCTATAATTTATTTTTATTCTTAAGTGTATGATTTTATAAAATTTATGAGCAAAATTATTACTTTTGAATACTTTGTTTCCATAGTAACGTATGTAATAGTTGATTTACCAAACATGTTTATCATGCATTTAATACATCAGACCTTCAACTTTCAGACACAATCATTGCTACTTGTTTGCTTTGCTGCAAACGTTAACTGTGGGACTCTGAACATGTTGAAAAATGGCATTTTTCAAACTTTAGGACATGTTGCCATGGTAACCATGACACGTACCAACCAATTTCTGCCTGATCTGAGTTTACGGTATCAAAGACTTTTATCGTAGAGAGTTTGGAGAAATTCTGAGACTATGCGTGCCACAGCTCCTATATAAAAGTTCAAGTCGTTACAGAGAATGGCTCTTAATTCTTTTTCAATTGTGCAAAAGTTATCTGAAAAGCACTGGGGATTAGCTGGCTAAGTATACATGCGGGAAATATTTAGAGGGAGGATTTGAAAAAAAAAGGCTATGATTTTCAGTTACAAATTCTATTGCTAGTAAACAACAAATAATTATAAAAGTGGAACACCCTCCCATGACTAGAAATACAACGCACCTGGTATTCATTTGCACTAAAAGTCACTAAAATTCTTATAAATACGACGGTTGTTCAGGAAGTTCGCGGACCATGTCAACTTTTCGTTATACTACTTTCAACATATTTAAAAAAGCACAGTATATGTAAAAAAAAATTTTTTTTGTTGATTTGTAAAGTCTTATTCTATTCGATTTAAAAGAAATCAATTTATTTCATTTTAAAATTAACATGTTTTGTAACCCGGGAGCACATTTAACAACATCAATGTAACATCAGAAAAAAATAGCGTCATGAGGTTCTCATAAATATTCTCCCTATACATTTCACACAGTCTGGTTCAATATCTGCTAATTAAAAACATCTCTCTATCAATTGAAATTTAACAATTGTTCCAGTAGCGTAATTTTGTTTGTCAATGTTTTCTTTTTACCGCTTAACTGCTTTGATAAAATGAGCAAGACTGAAGCGCCTATCTCTTTCCAAGACCTTACTAACTTTTAATTGATTTTTACAGAGTAACAGATCGTCCTTGTCTGATACAGAGTCTATATCATTCAAATACCGCCTGGGCCATTTACACACAGGTGTATGACTCGCTTTTGAGATATTTCATGCTTCCTACGCATTTTTAGAGCTTATTCTGGCGTTTTCCAGAGTACAGCACAGAACTGTGGCATTCTACGTTCACCTTTTTTGCCTTTTTCAATGAGGACTACGCATCTTCGGAAATTGATTTTTTTTCCCGAAACAAACCATTTATTCAAAGTTTGCAATATGAAACGATGTAACAATTCTTAAATTGAACGAAATATTTCGTTATAAGCTATTTTAAAGAGGATATAACTACACACATTAATTAGTAAATTGTTTGTAAATAACTACATGTACATTTTGACCCGCTCCGCCAACAAATGTTCGCAGTTTTTAACTCTGAATAAATTTAAAATAAATCATGATATTTGTAAAATTGTTAATACAAATCATTTGCATTTATGGTTAAAACATTTCTACAAAATTTGGATATGATATGAAGTTAAATCCCACACAGCAAGGTTTAAACAAGTCAGTGATCGCTATGCACGTGTTGATGTGACGTCATTTCGTAAAACTTGACGTAAATACTTGTCTTCTTTATGATTATATTCATATATTTTCTGTACATTTTTTTTAATTGACACTGCCGTATAGATGTACACAACGATCTAGTGCAAGGGCATACACTCAATGGATTATAGTAGGCTTTTACAAATAAAATTTAGAAGTACTAAGGTATTTGAAAAGTGCTGCGATCTTGGTGAAATCTTGAAAATGCATTAATATTATCTATATTCAATGCCGTTGACCACGAAAATATTCAGCATGCGGTCACACAAATATGATTTTAGTAATGAAATTGCAGAATCTTTAGAGGATTGCAGCATTTTTTAGAAACTACAATGCGTGTTGAAAATATTTATTAACTTAACTTTTTTAACTTGATTATACAATTGCACTAGTGAATTTTGTAGCTGACCTCAATACTGCAAGTATATGTGCTAGAATCACGTGACTAGCATCACGTGAGAAGTCTAAATATAAAATCTAATCGTCCGCAATATGTACTTAATAACCATAATTACGTTTGTCCGCTATAAATAAAGTACTAAAAAGAATCGCCACCCTGATTAAGAATATATTTTTAATCACAAAGATTGTCTGTATTTCCATCGTGCACCGTAACTGTACTGCGTGACAAAAGTTCGCGAATTTTCCGATCATTTTTAGATACTATTATACAAACCCATAAGTAATAAGACTCGGGTTTAAAAAGGAAAAAAAAATGGCAGAGTATTCCAGTACGTACATGTACTTCTGTGACTGTTGATTTTAAAATTATTACACGAGTTTTTAATTTAGAAGAATTGTACTAAATGTTTTTTTATGCATAACCTTTAACATCCAGTTCAAACGAATTGGAAATATACGGCATTCCTTCGTTAATGTTGGCGTCAATTCCCTTTGATATGCTTCAGCGGGACTTCATCTAGTTGTATAGATTTTAAATTTGGTAATATATTTCAGGAATACCAGAGGTTACGACTGTCTTCAGGAAGACATAGGCGATCTATATAGTTCCTTGCAGACATTAGTGGATGGACCTGCCTTTGATCGTCATATTCGAACTGATCTGAACAATGTGAACGACATAAATAATCAGTTAGAACTGAGAAAGAAGGACCTTATGATGACAGATTGTGCAATTGTGGTTGCTGGTAATTCAGTGTTAAATCTTTGTAATCAACATATGTTTACAAAAACCCTCCGAAAGGCTTTAGCGCTTGAATTCAAATCTTTAGAACCTTAACAAAAATTGCAAATACAACAGTATCAAAGTAGCAGTGATTATGACGTTGAAGTAAGTGGAATGTTTAATGTCTATATTATGACGTCATAGACACATGTTATATAATAAAATGATATGGAAAATGTTCAAAGAAATTATTGGTAATTTATGAGGAAATATTAAGTTTTGGCTTTAAAATAAAAATGGAATTAAGGAATAACTATCTTCTCAATTGTTATTTGCGACCGTTAATGCTGATTTAACGGTCGCAAATAACAAATGAAAAAGATAGTTATTCCCATTCTAATGCAATTTATGCATTTTGTTTGATGTTTTTGTCTTATTTTGTTGAGTTCTGGTACATCAAATACGTCATGAAGCAGTTTTTTTTTTTTTTTTGTTTGTTTGTTTGTTTGTTTGTTTTTGTTTTTTTTTTTTGGGGGGGGGTCTTTCTATTGTGACGTCACAATTAAAACCTTTCACTCCTTTTTATACTCCTTTAACTGCCTCAAACATCAGTTCTTAAGCCAATCAAAATGCATTTTACAAAACAATTGCATTAGAATGTCTTTTCTTCCTCCGTCTCTATTCTGAGTTTATAGAAAGGGAAAATGTAAAATCGTTTAAACTACACCTTATCAGGCATGCACTTTGCTGGATTTGTCTGTATTTAGGTTTTATATTCACGTATATATATATATATATATATATATATATATATATATATATATATATATATATATATATATATATATATATATATATATATATATATATATATATATATATATAAAGGTTCTAAATATTTTTGCTTTTCTGATTTGTTTCTAATTTCTAGGGGAAACGAGTTCAGGGAAATCAAGCATTATTAATTTGATAATTGGTACGGATATTGTACCAACTGATATCATGGCAACAACAACAAGAGTTTGTAGAATAAGATATTCAGACAAAAAAAGAGTTTCAGCGCTTGATAAGGACGGGAAAGATGTAGTTCTGTCAGAGTTTAATGATGAAGAAAAACTGATGGAGATGATGGAAGATCTAGCTAGAACAGGTGACCAACACATAGAATTTATTGATGTTTGGTTTCCTGTGCCAATATTGAAGGTAGGTTGAAGTTATTTTTAAGGGTAATACAAAATGCTTAAGTTGATGTAATTCTTAAAAAAAAAAAAATAGACATACGCTCAGAGAAAAAACAAGGAAAAGTTCTGGATGCACAGACTGAAGTCATTCCGCCCTAATGGTATCAACAAACTAAATGACTTTAGCATGACGAACTTTATCTAGACCCAATACCTGATTGTAACAAACAAGTTCGTTCTCTCTATATAGTGTAAACTTTACCATTAATTCGCATTGCCAATTCTGGAACAACCCACACACAGATTAATTGCTAAAATTTTTGTTTTCTTATTTTTTTCCCCAATAAACAGTCATTAAAACATTTTTAAATTTTTGATACATCCAAGTTCATATTGTAAAATATCCCTTCCATAATATCTTCCTTTGGTTTCTTTTTATCATGTTTAGTTACGCTATTTTGACAAAATAAGTCAGTGTACGTTTTACTACTTGGTCTTAATTAATTAGCGAAAATTAATTTGTTCAATTATGTAAATTGCACTTCATCACAGTACACCCGACAAACTCGACGTATTTCATAGCGGTCCAGTCCGGAATTCTTTCTCTACAACTGTTTATACTTGTAAAATTCAAATTATACATGTAACATTCTAAATAAATTGTGCTTGGTAGTTTGGTAGTAGCGCTAGTTTTGTTTTTTTTTTCTTTCCTTTTTTATGATTTCTTAACTTTTTTCTTTGTCCTGAGGAAGGGACAGAACAATTTTTATTATTTTTGTTCGTGTCGTTGGTCATTTTCAGTGCTTTATATAAATTTCCATCCGTGACCCTGTATCTACTTAGTAGGTCCGACACTTAGGATATACTGTGTTTTTGGCTTTTTAGTGTTTTATATATATATATATATATATATATATATATATATATATATATATATATATATATATATATATATATATATATATATTCCAAACTTATTGTGTTTCGATATCTATAAACTTTAAATTACCATGTAATATTTTTCATAGATTCTTACAAACAATTCGGTATTTTCCCACTATCTAAATAGTGCATTTTTCAAAAACTAGACATACTTTCCTATACGCAGTAATGTTATTAAATGCGTTCAACACATAACAATGCATTGCAAGGTCGATTTTTATTTTCATTTGTAAGTTATAAACTTAAGTACGGCCAAATATTGCTCTGCTCCTATTTTGTATTGTTTAATGGATTTTTGAGCTTGAATATCTTCGTTATCTCCATATATTTCATATAGAGAGTTCTCTAGGCTATATATAAACGTATTTGTTACGATATCACTTGACCTTGTTGATCACGTGAAGGTCATTTCTACTTTCTTGAAGTGTTTCACATAAATCGCTTCGGTGTAGCTGGTTAACACAATTATTATTAACTTTTTGTCACATAAATAAAATCGCTGCATTCTTCTGAACCCGAAATGTGCTTGGGAAAAGTTATACTATTACTCTGGTATAAAATATTTCACAATAAATTCAACTTACTGACAAATCTTCCATTTTCCACTCAATATGGTTATCTGTATTAAAACAAAGCCATCACACATTTTTCCCAAGCAAGATTCAGTTAGATGGGAAACTCCTCTTACAGATTTCCACAAAAGATCTCAAATAAATCCTAATTAATCACCTGCGCCAGGCTCTTTTATACACATGTTTTAAATTCTACTTCTATCCACGGGCATAAAAAGTGGTAAATGTCAAACGTATATTTTCGTATATATTTTGAACACGCTGACTTTTAAACAAGAGTAATAAAGCAACGTTATCTAAAAAAGATTCAAACACGTTTATTTTACACAACCTTTTTTACACTTTATATGCAAATTGAAATAAGGTGTAAAGTTTATGACACGTTCCCCATAATAACAACTCAAGTTTGCAGTGACGTGACGTCATTTTCATTTATGACGTCTTACATTTGTAGTTCAAAGAAGTGAAGGCACAGAATACACTGTGATATTCTCTGGTAAGCCTTAAAAGGCTTAAAATTCTCTGGGAAGCCTTACAAAAAAAATGAAAATAATAATAAAAACATAATAATAATACAAAGAATTGTACGTCAACGGTTAATAACTGTTACAAATCACGAAATTAGGAATTTTAGACTTATAATGTAAATTTTCTTTCCAATAGGGTAACATTATAATAGTTGATACACCAGGAAAAGGCGATACAGGACAAGATGATGTGGCGAATAAGATGATGGAGTACCTGCCAAATGCTGTAGCTTTCATTTTTGTTGTAAACGTTTCTACTGCAGGTGGATTCCAGGATGATAGAGTACTCTTAAATATATACTTTTATTTTGAAAATTACTTGCAATTTCTGATAAAGATATCAAAGCATCTTTCATGAAATTATTACACTGATGTAGGCATTCAAAGGAATTGAGGGATAATAAAATAAACCTTTAAAATTACTTATTTACACTAGTTCATATAATATTATCATAATTGAAAATGACTTACTTTTGATTTTATTGGATTTTAGCTTCTTCATATCATTAAAAGTGTAAGACAGTCGATGAGTCAAATGTATTGTTTCAATCCTGAGGATGCCATCTTCCTGCTCAACAAATGGGATGCAGTTCCCCAGAAAAAAAATCGAAAGAGAGACCTGTATGAGGAGTTAAAAGAAAAAGTTCACGATATATGGGAAGACGTGAAGGATAGTAACATTCTAAAATTCGCCTCAGCTAAGGTAAAAAAAAAAAATGCATATTTATCTATTGAAATTTCCGACGTTGATATGTATTTTTATTATTTACGAAAACATTGTTTAACACCTGTAGAAGTGATTGAAACATCGCCAAAACTTTAAGTAAGTCATAAACTGAGTTACATGTACCTGGTGGTATAAACGCAGGGTCACTTGAATTACAATAAATAGAGGGTTACAAAACATTTCAAGCTAATCCATGTACTTTTTTGCAAGATCGACAGGCTAGCTTAATCTGTAGGGCACTTGTTTCTTTAATCGAAAAATCATGGGATTACAACCCAGTCACGACAAAAGTAAGTTGAAAAAAGATAATGTAAGAAGCACCTGTTCATTTGTCAAGTGATAGGCACTTCTTATTTGAAATTTGTAGGTGTTTTGCGTGAGATAATTAAAATAAAATCGAGGTCCAGTGTCAGAGCAGGCGCTGGTAAGATAAAAAAAAAAAAAAAAAAAAAAAAAAAAAAAAAAAAAAAAAAACTCCATTGCTCATTGGTTTTGGGTGCCGAGTAAGGTCTTTGTTGAAATCCTTTGATGTTCATCTCACATCAGCAAACCATTTTTAAAAAGGACTTAAAAGAATCAAACAAATTATTATTATATCCAAAACATTTCTTGCCAATAAAAGCCCTATCAATCATGCATTTATTATAAAATAATAGCTTTATATGAAAATATGAAAAGTTTATGTTAAGAAGCCATATTTTCCCCATATTATTGGAAGAACATAAAAAACTTTTGTCCCCCCGCTTTCACTGAAAGTGGGGGATATTAATTTGGGTCTGTCTGTCCGTCCGGTCTGTATTTCTGTCTGTCTGTAACACTTTCGTTTCCGCGCGATATCTCGAGAACCATTGAGCTTTCGCAATGAAATTTTGCATAGCAACTCTCTTTGGCCTAGAAAAGAACCCTATTTATTTTGAGGTCAAAAGGTTAAAGGTCAGGGTCATAAATTCAAAAATTCTGTCTGTTTCATATTTTTGTTTCCGCTCGATATCTCGCGAATTCTTTGAGCTTTTGCAATGGAATTTTACATAACAACTCCCTGTGGCCTAAAGAAGACCCCTATTCATGTTGAGGTCAAAAGGTCAAAGTTCAAGGTCGTAAATTCATAAATTCCGTCTGTGTGTAACACTTCGTTTCCGGGCGATATCTCAAGAAGCTTTTGAGCTTTTGCAATGAAATTTTATACCATAACTCCCTATTTCCTCTTTTGCCCCTCTCAAAGTTTCCCGTCCCATTTGTTTTTATTAAATTTATTTATTGTATTAAAAGTCGTTTGGCACTATTTTTAGCACAGGGCCATGTCGAAGCTTATTACGTGTAATACAGGTTGTCGGCGGACTTTATATTCTAATTACATCTATTAGAACTGTTTAGTAAAGGCTAAATTAGACAACATTTATTGTGTAAAATTTTCACAAAATCAAACCTGAATATAAACATTATATGTTACTTAATGTTTTGCATTTAATGTGCTATATAATTAAGTGCCTACGTGGTCTAGTGGTATGTTGCTCGCTTAGCAAGCTAGAGGCTCGGGTTCAATCCCCGGACGATTCTCTCTCTCTCTCTTTTTTTTTTTTTTTTTTGCATTTACTAAATGATACTATTCAACATGTGAAATGAAAAAGTTATGATGTCTGGCGTGTACAAACTCATAAAATCATTATTACAGTGTGATAAATATTCTGTATATTAAAAAGAATCTTCTGTACACATATTAGAGAATAAGCAATCAAATCTTTATATCCATATTGGCATTTTTGAAATTTGCTTCAATATACGTGTATACATTTAATAATTCTACAAATACAGGGAGCAGTGTGACCCCCCTCCCCGAACTGTGCATGCTCTTCTTTTTTTCCCTAAGCAGGGGACACAAATTTTCTGAATTAACTTGTTTACCCATACTTAGGTTCATGAAGAGGAAGCCTACAAAGCAGAATTTGAAAAATTTCAAGAGATATTAAAAGAAGTGATTACCACAAATGCCTTCAAACGAGTAACAGTTCACTTGAGGTACGTAAACGTCTTGACAAAAAGTGTTTATCTAATGCCTTTAAAAAAAAATAGAGAAAAAAAATCTAATTTTGAGAATTTTAGAATGATACAAAATTGAAATTTGCAAATATTCATTGAACACAAAGTAACATTCAAAAATCCCTTGCATGTGTCGCGATGACATTTTTAATATGAACATGCAGTTGAAGAAGTCTACAGCCGTAACCCACTTAAAATGATTGATATGTTTGATTAAAATCACATATCTCAAAAGCGTTGTTGGCGATGCATGTCGTCTACATGTATATTATTTGAAAGAAATTTTCATCGAAATTCGATATTTTCTGAACCTTTTAAACAAAATACAGGAAAATACACAAGTTCATGGCGTCAAAATTAGTAATTAGAAGGCCATGTGAGAAAAATTATTCGTATGATCTTTCTGCATGAAATTTTAATGATTCGGAAAGCATGAGTTTTAATTCTTTACATCACTTTCAAGATTTGTATTTAGACTGTACCTTGTTCCTTGACAGATATCAATTAAAATAAAAAAAAAACAACTTTTTCTTAAACTTTGAGTGAATTTTTCCTAAATATTCTATCTTCGAGCTGCTTGCGGAGTTTAAAAGATAATCAGACTACTTAGGAATTGGTCAGTTTGCTCTTATATCATATTAGGTCAGACGACACGTTCCTTGAAAATATATCATTTTTCCCAAGAATTTTTCATTGAAGAATAGCTACTTAAACAAGTTTCCTCACCAAAAATTGAGGTATCTTACCGGGCACTTGGGCAAGATACCGGGAGGTGATATTCCTTATATAAATCTTATGGATAATCTTTTGAAATGCCAATGTCAAAATTTTAGATGTAGTACTTTTTAAAAACACATTGAAAACAATTTCGAAATCACTAGAGAATGACAATTATGAATATTTTTTATATAATACCAAGTTATGAAAAACATATTTGGAGAACGTGTCGTCTGACTTTAATATACTGAAAATTGTCGTGAGTTGGGTAATTATTTAAGGACGTCACGTCTGTTTCTCTAGCAGCGAAGAAAAATTTGGACAATGTCCCATTTTATATGAACATTAATACATTTGAAATATATATTCATATAGTATTTACTGTTTGATTAGACCATGAAATGTATGGAGATAACGAACAGTATTCAGCTCAAAATTCGATTAAACAATACAAAATTTGGATCAGAGCAAAGACGGACCTCTAAAACATCAGAGGTGCAATCACGTGCTATGGAGGAGTGAGCATCCCCTGCCGATCAGTCACACCTGCCTTAAGCTCCTTGTCATAATCGGGAAATAACGGGAAAAAATCCGTCGACAATCTAGTGCGTAAATAATGGCCTAACAATGAGTATGAAAAACGTCAGTCAGCATTTGACTTAATGATAAATTGTATTTACTGACAAGGTCATTGTATCGACCATAAAACTTACGAAATGACGATTTTAAACGAGACTGTTGATATTCTTGTTCCATTAACTTGTTTGTCAATAACTTACCTCGTTTTAGATATTGTTCATACGTAGAGCATGCTCTTGTGTATCGAATCAACTGAGAAATATTAACCCCATGTGCAGGTGATGAAGGTATATTGCTGCATTATTTAGGGAAGTTGATGATTGAAAAGTTAAAGTCATCACGTTTATCATAAAGCTTGGTTGTTACATTACCATTAACGTCCTTTTCTAGCAAATTATCCAAATATGAAACAGATGTGTCAGACTCTGTGGTATCTTTTATTTCAAGCTCACTTGGATCTATCGTATCGAAATAAAAATGGAAATAACAATTGTTAATTGAAAATACATCGTCAATATATCTAAATGACGAGATGACGGCCACAGCAAGTGTTTTCTTCTTTTCACGTAAAATATTTTTTGGACAAATTTTGCTTTATATGAATACAGCAATAGGTCTGCTCATAACTGGGTGTAATTGGTACTCATGGGAATTCCAATAGATTGTTGGAAGAACTGGTCTCTAAAAACCACAAAGAAATTGTCAATCAGAAACTCAAGCATCTTTTTAATATCAACTTCAGAGTACTTGTGTGTACAATCAGAATGTTTTTTAACAAAATAATTTTCAAAGGACCGATGACAAGGTAAGTAAATATACGAGTTCCATTCTTATTGAAAAAGCAGCAGTCAATGATATCAAATAGCCTGGAATTTAATTTATCGTGGGGAATGGTTGTATATAAAGTTGAAAAGTAATTTTTCATATAGTTGATTATGGTAAAAAAAAAATCAATTTTTTTTAATAACTTCCTTGGAATTTTTGATTATCCACATCTGATTTACACCACTTCTCGAATATATAGTTGCACAGTACTCCTGAAGTTTCTCCTTCACTACTGCTAACATTTTAGTGAAGAGTAAAGAAAGAGGAGTGAAGCCGCTAAGTTTCTTTGTTTGTAAGGATTTTTATGAAGTTTCGAACTCCAGTATAGATATGGTACTTCAAATTCATGTTGGTTGTTCGGGACATTAAAAATATTCATACCCTACATATGATTGTGAAGAATTTCCTCTTGAGAAAGGGAGCAATGGGAATAAGTTGGATTACCGCATGTTGAATTAAGGATACATAACACAAACAAAAATTTGATGCATGGATACATATATGTTTTTTGACTGATTTTGATTAGAAATGACATAAATAATAAATCACTAAAATATAAAGAAATCGTAGGTTTTCTTTGGTGCTTCGATATGTTACTTCTTCACAAAATTTTGCACAACTTTTTAACCTTATGACAAAAACTTACAAAAGTCTTCCACTTTACCTGTCAAACATTATTCAGCTTACCGATTTAAATATAAATATAAGAGAAATATTGATGATTTCTGAAAAAAAAAAGTTTGTAATATTCATCCTTAAATCCCGGTTCCTCTAAAATGCAATTTAAAATAAAAAAATCATGAAATCCTGTACAGCAGGAAACTCGTGGAGTTAATATTCTCTATACTAGATGAAATCCCGCGCAAGCGCAGGGAATTGAATTTATACCACTACCGACTGAAAGTATATTATAGTTTCTACTGACAGCCTACAGACTAGCAGGAACAAATACATTGTTCAAAATCCCGCATGAAGTAGATGTACGTCTGACCCCCCCCCCCCCCCCCCCCCACCCTTTTGTTAAAACTTGAAAAATAACAATTTCATTAATTAACGTTTATTGTGAAACCTGTTATACTATGTTATGGACATTGAACTTCAGATGCTCTTATTTCATTTCCGTCAAGGATAAAAGCAGCTGCACATTTTACTGATTAATTGATTTTTTTTTGGGGGGGGGGGATTCACTTGGCTTATAAACATGTTTGTACCGTATTGATATGTAAAAAAAAAATGTACTTTACTTACTTTTTTTACATATCAATAAGATACATACATATTTATAAACCTAGACTCAAGTACCTGTGTAAAAATGAGCTTTTAACGCCCTATGAATATATCGATATATAAAGATATTCACAACTAATAGTGTTATCAATGATTTACCATTATTTCAACGACTATTCACACAAAAGCTTTTTTATGTTATGCAGTTGTAATCGCCTCGTTTTTCTTTTTAACATCGGGGTCGATGCCATATGATGTTCTAGAAGCTTCCGTCAATATTAAGATCGGTGAATGACAAAAATACTTTGCACATTTCCCTTTTTAATCGGTTATCACAACTTATTTCTTTTATATCATTTAAATCTGGTGCACCCGTTTTGGAGGTTATTTGCAAAATTTATTAATTTATAAGTATGGATTCGCGGAAATAAAAATTCCTGGAATTCAACATACACTGAATAATTCTTTTATAATTAATAAGGATAAATTGAAATATTACTGTTATCTATGATTAGATTCTTTAACTGTATTTGTGTTTCCGTGCAATCATAACAGCAATAGAGATGTAAACTGTCTTCCTAATTATGGGGTTTACATCAACCAGTAACACGAAGTTGCTGGTGTTTTTAAAGCTTAATTGATAAATAAATTTCTATAAGTAACATTTAATTCTGCCACCCGGTAGAGGTACGATGTAATTACCTTTAAAACTTGCATTGTATAATTTCACCCCTGCGTATCATTCAGTCATTACATTCGGTCAAGGCCCTTACGTAGTAAACAAGAGAAAGATAATACTGTTACACATCAACTCAATTATATGAACAGTTCAACATTTTTACCATCATACTGGCCACTTCTATTGATTAAAATTCGGCAAAATTCAAATATATTTCAGTAAATTTTACTCTGTGCTCTACTCAAAACATATCTATAAACGAACACTTGGAAAAGAGTTTTTAGCATGTTGATGACACTTAAAAAACTTGAATAAATCACTTGAGTATAAACTCATAGGAACTTCAAAAATATAATTAAAAAAAAACAACGGAAAAAAGAAAAAAAAAAAAAAAAACTCTGAACGCGTAACAAGGTAAGTCGTACGTTTTGACTTCAAATCGGGATCAGTCTGGTGTTTCGTTATTAAGAGTCATTCTCTGTAACGACTTAAACATTTATATAGGAGCTGTGGCACGCATAGTCTCAGAATTTCTCCAAACTCTATGATAAAAGTCTTTGATATCGTTAACTCAAATCAGGCAGAAATTAGTTGCTACGTGTCATGGTTACCATGGCAACTTGTCCTAAAGTTTGAAAAATGGCATTTTTCAACATGTTCAGAGTCCCACAGTTAACGTTTGCATCAAAGCAAACAAGTAGCAATGATTGTTTCTGAAAGTTGAAGGCCTAATGTCTTAAAAGCATGATAAATATGTTTGGTAAATCAACTATTACATACGTTACTATGGAAACAAACTATTCAAAAGTAATTATTTTGCTCATTTAATTTTATAAAATCATACACTTAAGAATAAAAATAAATTATAGGTTGAAATGCAAGCAAATAATAGACAAAAGATCCTTGTAACATATACCAAGGAAGAAATATGATATTTCTTGTAGGTTGGCAATGGTTGCCATGGTTTTAATACCAAGAAGGGATTTTAAATTTACTCTCTAAATGTTTAAATCTAATCCTAACTTTTTAAAAAGCATATTTCTTTACAACTAATGATCAGATTTTAAAGATGTTCATGTGACCCTAATTTTCACATAAGCAACACATTTCAAAAAATTCAAATTCAATTCTTTAAATAGAGCATTGCTATGGAAATAAACCGAAAAAATATGCATAAAAATCTGAAAAATATTCTGTTTCCTTAGATACGTACCCTTGTATGTAGATTCCCAAAACTTTTATGATTGATAATTATGAACAACTAACCTGACTTTCAATTTTGACTGCCACCCAATCTCTAACTGGATGCAAATAGCTGGCACTTAGGGTTTAATATTGATGTAAAATTAACAAAATCGAATATTTTCCCTTCTTGGTTACCATAGCAACAGTGTTGTATTTTTCAACAAATGTTATCAATATATGATATTCAACTTTAGTTCTACCAAATAAGTACTATTCAAGGTGAGTTAAATAATATGTTTCTTGAATAAAAGGTAAGTAAATTCCTAAGGCAGCAAAAAATATCACTTTAAACAACTGGTACATTGTTTCCATGGTTACACTGCAAAGTAACAATTAATCCCAATTTTTCTTTTGTTGTCGGTGTTGCAAGGTCCTAAGGATGTATATGTGCCAGTCATGAAATTTATTGTTTTTTTTCTGAAGATAGTAGCATTAACCCAAACTTAGCAACACATTTTGCATGGTAACACTGTGTTACCATGGCAACCATGAAAGTTATTTTTAGAATAATATTGCCAATACCTAATTACTTAGGGTCAAATATTTTTATTGTTTTTTCTTAGGTTGTTGATTGAGTTTGATCATTTAAAATCTATCATTAGTGAATATTGAGCATTTTTCAGCATTTTTCATCATCTAAAATGTATTCCAAATGTACCCATGGTTACCACTTACTTAGAGATAAATTATAGATAGTTTCTTTATAGCACAAGTGGCAACAAGGTGTCAGGTTTTTGTGAGAATGGTTTGTTTGTTATTCTAAGTCTTTATTAAGGCTTAATAAAGATTCAAAGTAACTGAAAATCTCAATTTTTCCAACTTTTCTGGCTGTTACCATGGCAACCAAGACACATAGCAACGAAATTTTATTTGATATATGTTTCTGGTGTCAAGTTGTAATAATGGGCAAAGTTTCATCAAAATCGGTGACCATGCGTGGCAAAGAAGTTTAAGTGGTTACAGAGAATCGCTATTAATATTTAATTGGGTTCAAAATCGACAAAATACGGAAACTACTTGAAGTGCTGAAAAAATTGTTGTATAATTTTTCCTTTCCACGAATTCAACCGACCGAGATTTGCTGCAAATTGATCAAATCGCATTCTTTTCCGACCGCGATTTTAACCTGTGGAGTATTTTTTTATGTGGAATATATGAATTAATTTTTATATTTTATCAAAACCCAACACAATAATTTATGGTGATTGAAATTACAGATTTATCAAAGCCTTTCTTGACGATTGTGAAACAAGCCTAGCAAACAAGCTGAGATGTGCAAGGCAAAGCACAGAAGAGACACTTAAGGAGTTGGATCAATTTAGTAGGGATTTGCTAGATATCAAGAATAAAAGACAGGAGGTAATTTTGTCACATGCAAAACAAATGTTGTTGAAAACGAACTAACATATTTTTCTCTAAAAATTAATAAAGTTTTCTTTACACAAAAAAAGAAAGAAAAAGAACAAGCCTTTACTCCGTTTATAAAATTGCAGTCCTCTAGACTCGATTAAAGTTTACTTACGCCAAAGGCTTAAGTGAAATTTCCTTATCAATAATTGTCAGTCTTTCGTCTTATGATTTATTTTCTTCACAATTTTGAATTTTTCTCCAAAACCATTACGCTTATTTCAGCCAAAATGGAAAAAAAAAGATCCTTTCGTAAGAGGATTAAAATGTGTTCAAATAAAGAGCCATACCAACTTTCGAGATGAGATTTGTGAAAATAGTACAAATATGGCGCTGTAATATAAAAAATGTTCTTAAGAACCTGTCCGGGTCAAAGAAAAACAAATATTATGTAAACGTTTAATAAATGTAAATTTTAGTTTGTCCACCTCATCGGGGAAGGGTGGGGCTACAGTAATCAAAATAAAATCTTAGTAAATGAATATATAGGGAAAAAATCTGTAATATATCCTCCTATGAAGAACAGAGGGCTCATTATGGCACTTTTATTGCAAAGTGCAAATGTTTTATCTTCTCAAGGACTGCTGAGACACGATAAGATTGGGGTCATTGAAAGAAATCCAAGTTTAGATGGAGACAATCAAAGAAAAGTGATAGAAATCGCCTTTCAGTGATAGGAGGCCTTGATGATTTATAATAAAATGGTACCATTATTAGCTTACCCGTGTAAAACAAATTCAAGTTTGTTTAAATCAGTGCCCACAAGGATAAGGTTCCTAATTGATGGGATTAATTACAATAATTTGACAATAATCGTCATCGCAAAACCTCATTATTTTTTTCGCAATTGAGAACAGCAGATTCATGATCAGTGATTTACATATTCAAGCATCCTTTGGTAGTGCAAATTAAAGTTAGTAAAAACCATAGTCCCGGATGGGTAGGTGCCTTATATGTTGGAAGAAATGTTTCCAAAAATGAACAGAGAGAGAATTTAACAATCTTCTCTTCAGGAACAACAGGGCAATGATTAGCGACAATGGTATAAAAGCATGTTCAAAAATTGCTGAATCAGGCTTGTTACGTGTTTCATGGTGACCCTGGGGTAGGATGGCGCCACGCTAGCTAATCGAAGTTATATATAAGAATAAGTTGGACATATCTTTAAAATATTCTTCTGTGTGAACCTCAAAGCAATGTTTCGTACGTAATACAAGAACCCTCTGAAAGTCAAGATTTAAGTTTGTTCTAATACATCCCTCGAAGATATCGGATAGGGGATAGACATTTGACACTTCAACTTTTACTATTATGGAAAATGTTTTTAAACCCTGTTTATCAGAAGAGCGACTGATATTGATCTAGTAAACATGCAAACATTTTCAGTAAGTGTTTAACAGATCAATTGCGAAGCGTATTAATACATATCAATATGTAAGCATCCTTGGTAAAGATTTAAATTTGCTGAAATGAAGATATATGTGTAATGCTGTTTCCAAGATGTCGGATCAATTGAAAAAAAAAAAAACAATACATTGTATATTTTTTCTCGAAATAGTAGTTACGTTTCGACTCGGGTGAGCGTTGTGGCTTAAAGATATCCTGTTGACATTCATGATTATTTTCATTGCAATAAAGACATTTACTAAAGTGTTTTTCTTAAAGTTTCACTTTTATAATCTTAAATTTCGTTGTAGGCATATTCCGGTCTCAAAAAAAATATTGACAAGTTTATCAGTGAAACCGCAGAAGATTTGCACACTTACATACGAAGTCCAGAGTTCAGAACCATTGTTCTCCAAGGGACTGAGAAATACACACGACTTACAATTGGACGAGAACTAGACTCTCGCATAGAAAAAGCGACTCTTACCTGGCAAGAAGAAAATGTTGGAAGGATGTTTGAACTCAAGATATTACAAAACCTTACAGATAATTTTGTAAAACTTTACGAATATTTGCACAAAATTAAAAGCAAAATGAAAGGATTTACCTCTCCCTTTGACGTCGAAGACAAACTTGGTCCAGTTCTTGTCTCATTGATTGCGCCTAGTAGTACAGCTGTAGCCGGTAGTATGGCAATGATGTATATGTCTGTTAGTCCTAAGGCTGCACAGGCAGTAGCAGCGACAGGAATAGTGACTGGTCTGGTAATTACAGGACTAGTCGCTCTAGACGTCCTTGATAACTTTGAAACTGTCAAACAGAATGCTTACGAGGCAAGAATAGACAAGATAACCGAAGAAAAAGTAAGGAAAACATTACAAAAGACATACGCAGAAAGATTCACACACGTCGTCCAGAGTTATCTTGAAGGAGATTTAAAAAAAGAAATTGAAATTTTATCGGAGAGTGTTGACTCAACGAAAGGCAAGATAAATTTTTACAGAAAGGAAGAGTCGAGCTTGCTTTCTCTAAGCTCGGAAATTTCAGAAATTCGAAACAGATTGGAAGAAATAGAAAAGTTAGAAATCATACTTGTGTGAATTTAAACAGAAACTGAATGCTATCATAAGATAGTAATACCCGCACTTAAGTGTTTTCCTCTAAATGCACACTCCTTCGTAGTTGGGTAACCAAGGAAAAAACCACAATAAACCGAAAATTTACACAGCATATGTATTTGTCATATCGAGCGAAAATGCTCAGGTGAACATGTAGCTCAAGGGCCTCTTATATAAGTGTTTCATATGCTACATCCATTACCAATCTGAAGTTACAGAATTTAATTAATGATGTAAATGTAGCGTTTTTGATGAACTTAAAAAACTTAGATGCCAACTTTCAGAACTGATCAAATTGTGCACTTTTTGTAAAAATTGTAAAAACTTTTATCAGTATTTGGGTAGACAAAAACCTCCCCCAAAGCCACACCAGATCAAATTCTGTCAAAACTGCCATTTCCCCACAGTTTGCTTTTTTTTTTTTTTTTTTTTTTTTTTTGTGTTTTGTTTTTTTGTTGTTTTTTTTTTTTTTGAAATAGATAGCACAAAATAATGTAAAATCATCGTTTGTAATTTTAATATAAAATGTGTACATGTACAATGTGTACACCTTTTTCTAAAATTGCTAATCCCGCGCCTCACACTGGACTTGCGTCACCCTATGAGTACTAAATTTAGGTCATCTGAGTAAACTCAAGTGACCTATTGCTATCTGTTTTCGTCCGTCGCCATGCATCGTTCGTTGTGCGTTAGCATTTGAACATTTTCAGCTTCTCTGAAACTGATCAAAGAATTTCAACCAATTTCGGCATATGGCTACCATTGGTGAAGGGGAACAAAAATTGTGAACTTCGTGGTCCCTGCCCTCCTGGGGCCTGAGGGTGGGGCAAAAACCACTAAAATTAATGCTATCTTTAACAATCTTCTTCTTTACTCCTGAACATCAAGCCGTCAAACTGTTGGCATGATTGTAATAGGCATTGAGCCCTCTACCAAAATTGTGAAATTCATGACCCAGAGTCAGGGGTTCTGCTGCTAGGGTTGGGCTTTGTTCAATATATAGTGAAAATACATTATATCTTAGAAATTCTTCTCCTCTGCTTCTGGGTATTATGCAAACAAATTAAATGCTCAGTTATCATTAAGAAGGCAGCCTCTTTCAAATATGTTAAATTAATGGCCCCTGGGTCAGGGGTTCTGGTGTTAGGGCGGGGCTCTAATAATTATATAGTGAAAATGCATTAATTCTTTGAAAATCTGCTCCTGGGTAATAAGCTGATGAACTAAGTACATAGTTATGATGAAGAAGGGGGCCTCTTCCAAAAAATTGTGAATTTTATGGCCCATGGGTCAGGGGTTCTGGTATTAAGGCGGGGCTCTAATGATTATATAGTGAAAATACATTGATTTTTTGAAAATCTTCTCTGTTCCTGGGTATTAAGCCGATGAATTTAGTACATAGTTATGATGAGAAGGGGTGCCTCTTCTAAAATTGTGAATATCTTGGCCCCTGGGTGAGGGGTTTTGATGTTAGGGTGGGGCTCTCTTGATCATATAGTGAAAATTCATATATTCTTTAAAAATCTGCTTCTCTTCTCCTGTATATGAAGCAGATAAACTAGGTGCAGGATTATGATGATAAAACTTGCTTCTTCCAAAATTGTGAAATTTGTGGCCCAAGGGTGATTGGTTCTCTGAGAGGGAGATCTATTGATTATATAGTGAAAGTGCGTTGTTTCTTTGACAATCTTCTCTGTTTCTAGATATTTAGCAGTTAAACCAAGTATATAGTTATGATAAGCAAGGGCGCTTCTTCCAAAATTGTGAATATCTTGGCCCCTGGGTCAAGGGTTCTGGTGTAAGGGTGAGGCTCTATTGATTATATTGTGAAAATGCATAAATTCTTCAAAAATCTTCTTCTCTCCCCCTTTATGTAAAACAGATACATGGTTATGATGATGATGGATGCTTCTTACAAGATAGTGAAATTTGTGGCCCCAGGGTGAGGCGTTCTCCGGGAAAGGGTGGTGGCTCTATTGATTTTATAGTGAAAGTGCATTATTTCTTTGATAATCTTCTTCTATGCTCCCAGATATTTAGCAGATAAACCAAATTTATTGTTATCATTAGCAAGGACGCCTCTTGGCCCCTGAGTCAGTGGTTCTTGTGTTACATTGTAGGACAGGGCTCTATTGATTATATAATGAAAGTGCATTATATCTTTGAGATCATCTTCTCTACCCTTGGGCATTTAGCAGATAAACCAAGTATATAGTTATGACGAGCAAGGGAAACTCTTCAAAAATTGTAAATATCTTGGCCCCTGGTGTAGGGGTTCTGGTGTTAGGGTGGGGATCTATTGATTATAAAGTGAAATTGCATTGATTATTTGAAAATCTTCTCTTCTCCTAGGTATTTAGCGGATGGACTAAGTTCATGGTTATGATTATCAAGGATACCTCTCCCTTAATTGTGAAATCTGTGGCCCCAGGATTAGAGGTTCATTTTGGGGAAGGGGGTCTATTTAATGTATAGTGGAAACGCATTTTATTTTATTTTATTTTATTTTTTTTTATTTTTTTTTTTTTTTTTTGAAAATCGTCTATGCCCGGGGTCTTAAACAGAAAAACTAATTGCATGGTTATGACGAGCAAGGAAATCTTTTTTTTTAAAAAAAAGTTGAAATTCATAACCCCGGGGTCAGGATTTTAGTGTTAAATTAGGCTCTTTTGAATATATTGTAGAAATGCATTATTTCTTTTAAAATTTTCTTCTCTGGCCATTATTCTTTAAGGAAACATACTAAACGCATTTTTATGATGAGCAAGAGTGCTTCTTCCAAAATTGTGAATATCTTGGCCCCTGGGATAGGGGCTTTGGAATTAGTGTGGGACTATATTGAGTCTACAGTATAAATAGATTATTACCTTGAAAAGATTCTTATCTGCTCCTGGACATCTAGGGGACAAATAGAGTATATAAAGTTGTAATAAGCAGGGGTGTTTTTTCCAGATTTTGAAATTATGTTCCCTTTGATTAATTTATTAGTTTCTTCTGTAAGAAGTTATTCCCCTTTGCTATTCACCTACGATAGTTAATCACTGTAATGTAAATAATATACGGTATCAATTTTGATGCACCAGATACGCATTTCGACTAATTATGTCTCTTCAGTGATACTCAAACCGAAACGTTGGAAATCCAAAATAAAAAAAAAGACTTGGAAGAGCTGAAAAAATGTGCCAAAGACTGGAGCCAAAAATGTCGAAGGATCAGAGCTATGCATGAGGAAGATAACCTTAATTTTGAAATCAATTTCTAAATTTTACCACAGCAATTAAATATATATCCGTATTTTCAAGCTTCTACCGAAGTACTGGGTTACTGGGCTGTAGACACCCTCGGGGACTAACAGTCCACCAGCAGAGGCCTTGACCCAGGGGTCATAATGTTTATCATATACGGTACCAATTTTGATGCACAGGTCAATTGAATAACAGAATTATACAAGAAATTTAACAATCTTTAATACAAATTTAAAGTACTTTCATAGTTTTTAATGGTCAGGTGAACTATTAAATAATAGATAAATGAAAATGGGACAAAATACCATATCTTTGTACAGTAGCTAATCTTTAAAGACCAAGAGAGGCCAGTGCTAGGGGAAATGGAATGTGTTAACTAATAGTGCTCTAGAACTATTGTTTTGTTTAGTCTGCATAAGCATAGTGACAAATGGGAGGAAAGTACATGCAAAAAAATAGATCAACTATAAGATTTTTGTATTGAGAACAAAATTAATATTTTGCTGATCCCTTATTATTTTATTTCTCTTGCTTTTGGGCAACATAGTTTTACTTATCATCTAATTTTGTGTTTAAATCTATGGATAGTTACATTATACTCAGGTGACCGCTATGGACCTCTTGTACCAGTATCATTATTGGATTGCACATGGTGTATTCATCATTATATCAGTAGGAATGAATTCATTGTTTTTTTAATGGTTATTATTTTTTGAAGTTGACAGTACCTTTGACAGGCGGTAAGAACAAGTTTATGTATAGAATGGGGTAAACTAATCTGAAATGCAAATTATTAGGTTATAGTTTAGAATGGGACAAAGATCATCGGATGCAACTTGCAAGTTATACATTGAAGCAAGTTCCTAAGAGTCATTCTCATTCCCTGGATATGGAATCAATCCAATGGTTTTAAATAAAATCGGAAACCCCAGCGCCGACTTTGTATTATGACAGATTTAATGGAATAAGGGGTCATGACCCACCAGACTTCTCTCTTGCCAAACCCTTTCCCCGAAACGACAAATGATCATGTAACTCAAAAATGGTTGAAAACTTTTCCCCTTGACAATACATAATTTTGTTTCTTGTGTCATTATGTATCTAATGGTATGAAAGTTATGAACCACTGGAGATCATCCCCACCCCCTTGAAATTGATATGTTCACAAAATGACCTGCATAGAATTCAAAAGTGCATCAATGATAAGATTGTTTGACATTCCATTCATGACTTTGGATCAACCCACCCTCCTAGAACTAGGAATGAAAACCATTCAGAGAGACGCACTATTAAAGTTTGTTCATATTTTTGTATATATTCACTTTTTTTTCAAAACAAAGTATTTGTTTGTTTGCATACACGAACTGGGTATTTCCTTGTGGGAGGAGGAAGGAGCTATATCTGCATGTCTGAATCGTTGAAAGCTCCTAAAAGTTTATGAATGTTGACCCCACTTCTGACTTGTCATAATTATTAACTCTTCTCACAACATGTATGTACATGTTTATTAGTCAATAGATATAGACTCCTGGTCATATTTTCCTAGTTCTCCATTGAAACAGGAATGATATAAATATTTTAAGAATGATTAAGAGTAAAACAGATCTTGCATGTTAAAATTGATTAAGCTCAATGGTTGAATTAGCTATATTGGTATAGCTTGATTTTGTAATTCAAAAAACTTTGATTAGTTATTGACATGTATAATCATAGTGTTTTGTAAAATATGCAGTTTTT